CATTTTTTTATACTAAAGTTGGAAAATATAAATTTATTGAATCTTTTCAAACTTAAAATACATTAAAGATTATTTGTAATTACTTTTTCATCGCTAACAAAGATTTTGGCTTAAAAAATAGTTTTAAAAGTTATTTAAGTAAACATTTTAAAATCACTATTGAAAAGGTAAAGTAATAGAATTATTTAACATGAATATAATTGCTGTGTTTTTATTGTAAATCTAATTTGACAAGTTAAAAATACTTACATAAATTTTTTGTGACACATTGAAAACAACTTTTAACATCCTCGATAAAGATTTAAGAATTTTTTAATAAAAAAAATATTTTACTTGTTTTTTACCTTTCTTATCAAATTTGTTTGTATTGTGTGCAAGTTTATTTATTATACACTAACTCCCAAAAGGTTTCGTGACAGTAAAATTAATAACGATGAAAGTAAAATTTCTATAAAAACAAATATGCTCATTTAGGTATCAAATATGTTTCTTTTGTGTGTGTGTTAGAAAAAACAAGAACTATGTACAGAGTTGAAAAAAATATTTTTTCATAGGTTTTATGATGTTGTGACATTTGTTGTAAAAGCTAAACGATATTTAATCCTAAAAATAAATAAATGAATGAATGAATAAAAATCGCTTTTATAAATATGACCAATCCAGATACTCAAATGTCCCTTGCAGAGACTCGAAATAGTCATTTCTCCAATAGGAAAATTTTCAATTTTCTGCAAGAAGAGTTAAACACATGCACAAGAACACCCTTTAAGAATTTTAATGGTATTAAGATTGTTATAATGCACACACATCACCACTTCATACATGAGATATACCATTATTCCATCCAGGTAATTGCTAGTTATATTGGCTTGATGAGGAAGGGTATTGTCATCGATAAGGAGGAAATATGGGTCCATAGCCATAGTGTAAAGTTGCAAAAATTTACCGTGTCTTCCTCACATAGAGCCTTTAAAGATGGGTTTTTCTATTCGATATCCTATTGACATCATGACTTAGTCAAGTCTGAATGCGTAAAACTCCGATTTAATTTCGTGTGCTTTATTCTTTACAGACTATTAAATGTTTATCAAGAAATTTCAGGGTTTATTTCAGCTCGATCCTGAACTGGATTGATAGTAGAACACAAAGAAGTAATGTTCAGGCTTAAAAATTCCTTATTCAGAATAGCTGGTGAACAAAACTGATAATAAAGTACTTACCAAAGTGACATCACATTTGTACTCATTGTAGTGTCATTAGTCAATTCCATTTAGCTGGTCTTTAAAAATACTAATCATCTGAAGAGTTGGTGACTCAATAGGCTCAAGAAGTTGGTTTTCAATAAGCGACAAATTACTGATTGCTCAACACCAAAGAAAAAAGCAGGATTATTCGCAAAGTGACCTGGTTAAATACTCTCATAGGACTGAAGCCTTTACTACCTGCCATTCAGCTCAAGCCATAGGAACAAGATTACCATTAGTAATTCTATGAAATATATGAATAAATTTCTTCATTATTTAAATGCACTTCCTCGAAACCTTCGGCTACCTCTTTATTATATGCCTGGATAATCACCCACGATTTGTTTTAGCATACAATATTTCCATACTGTCATCTACATTCATTGAGATTTTAAGTAACACAAACCCATATAAGCTTCTAAACTGAAAATTTACAGTATATGCATAACTCTTTTAAAGAGGTTGTGTAGAAAAATTTCATTTTTTCGAAAAAGGTTTTCTCAAATTTCGGTGCTTTTTCGTTTTGCTGGCGCAAATATTGCCAAGCAGCCTTTATTGGCGACAACACATAATTTACACGTAAAAAAAATGTTTTAAATGTTAGTTCTCATTAATTTTTCACCTGTTTTTTATGTATTATGAAAAAGACATTGCTAATAAGAAGAAATAGCGACTTGTTTTGAAAGTGCGATGTTAAAAGCTTATTAGTGGAAATATTTCGTTTGGTATCGGTTGTATCATTTTTGGCGACTTTATCGCTTGCACTTGTGAAACGGAGAAGTACGCAAATTTCTTATGATCATATGTTTAATGTATGCAAATAAGATTATCATATACTTACATGTTAAGTCCATTCGTTTATATGTCTTGAATTCTGCAACAATATCATCCCATATAGTTCAGCGGTTAACTATTTTTCTAAGCTAATAAAACAAGTTTTGCTTTTGATATTTTGAAAAAAGAAAATAATTTTACAAACTTTTTATAGTGTTATGATACTTCATGTTTTTCTACTTATATTTTTTCGAGAGTTTGGAACGTCACTCCCAAGTTTAAACTACCTAAACGAAATTCACATCATGAAACTACGGCTTTTAACCATTACACATATTATTTCATGTTATGAAATTTTCACTAAATATACTCTAAAAAAAAATTTATTTTAAAGAAAAACTCTGTCCAGATTAATGTAATAATTTATGGTATGAAATTAAGAAAAAGTATTCTGCATTTTATATTAATGCCGCACTTGGTTTATTTCGATGTATGCATAACTGTGCCTAAATATAGCTTTAGTTAACAAAATTTTTAAAGTATTACTATTTTCGATTGAATATGAGCCCCAAAATATTCTAAAAACCTTGCGAGGCAAAAATTTTGTTCAAATTTTTTCAAGTAATCTTCTGTAAAATAACTTAAAAAAATAATAATATTTGTACAAAAATCTTATAAAAAAATTAATATAACATATCTTAAAATTAGTTTATCAATTTTATATTCTTTACACATTTAGTACATTAACCTATTGTATAATCTCGATTGAAGTTAAATTGCTAAGCATAAAAATGAATTAAAATTTAAAAGACATTAAGTCGTTTCTTATAACATTAAAATACTACTTTAGTTAAATAATTATTAAGTATAACATAAATATAACACAGAATAATAATTAAATTTATAATTTAATGTATATGCAAATTTTGAAAAAGCATAAAATTATCTAGTTTTGATATTTAAAATCAGAAAAATTATTTATATTTTCAACTTTTTTTAAAATGAAAGTACCCACTAATGTAGAAATGAAAAGAAATTATTTGTTACGAATTTGGTGTAATTAATATTTAATTCCATCATAAGGTAGTGCCAATAATTTATATTTGGATGTTTAATATGTTAGTATTACTTTCCATTGTATTTATTTTATAATACAAATTGTAATATTCGCGAGGAATGTCATCTCTTACATTATAATTGTGATTCAATGAAACCTTGCTGGAATATCAGCGATGTAACCAAGTTGGCATCATTTGGCAACCGGTTTTCGTGAATTGGCAGCCATTTTTGGCAATTGTCAACCATATGGATGCATCTGGAAATCACTGGAGAAATCTATAATATCACGATCTACGACGTTAGCGGTTTTTCGAGAAAGATCTGGCAGGTAGTCACGCGGACTATAATAGAAGTAACTCTCTGAAATTGCACCAGTATTACTTTGGTTGTCAAAATAGTCGTGAGAATGCTTGCGGATAATCTTTAACATTACGTACTTGTGTTTCTAGACACTGATAGTTGTGTTTGCACACTGTTGAAGGTGTGAAAACCTTCTGAGATTTATTGCGCGAATTTTAGTGCTATGTACCACACATTTTAAAGATTGCTTTTCCAAATCAAATTTTCAACTTTCTTAAGGAACTAATTTGGTTTTTGAAACTGATAGCATAAAATCTCCGATAATTATTCATAATGTGTGAACTTTAATTGTAATTTGTATACAATTTGGTGAAAAAAATATCAACGTTGTTTTTAATAAAAAATATACAAATTTTACATACGATGACTAATTTTTTTAATACATAATTCTTCAAATTTCTTTACGTGTGTACGAAAATGTTTATTCGTACGATTGATATACAATTCATTTTTTAAATTTTATAATTTTACTTATGCCTATTTAATTTATTAAACAAAATTCAATACATATTTAATATGCCAAAAATTAAATTTCAAAAGTCTTTTAGCGCTTATTTTCAAATCGTTATTCAAAATATTCATATTGGTATGATTTAAATATTCCTTTTACATATTTTATTATGCGTGCTCCTTTTAAATATAGCATTTCGTAAGGTTTAAGGCATTTAATTGTATAACGAATGCCAAAGAAAGCATAACTTAATCAAATATTCTGTTAAATTTAATCCCTTTCCATATTAAATAAAATCCTCTGGCATATGCATCGCTAATTTTGCGTCTCTCTTATGCTTGGCAAGTAGCTATAACGATACAAATAGCATGAATTATTTGACTTTAACGGACTGACAATTTTAATAAACGTCACAAGCACTTTTGCTTCCAAAGTTATTTCAGAACTGTTAATTATAGTTAGAATTAAGTAATATGCATTATTACTAGTTAAAATCTGGGATTCTTTCAACTTTGTCTGGAACTTCAAGCTTTAAAATAATTTTTATTTTCTATGGGTTCTATTCAGTCTAAGTGAGTACAGATTTATATTCAAAATGGATTTTTGTGTAATAATTCGGAATGTAAATTGCAAAATTTGAAGAAGTTTTTGAGTGTATTTCTTAAATTTATTTTCTGGATGAATGGAAAATTTTGCTTACTAAAAGATATAAGCATTTTCTTCATTCAATTACTAATAGTTTTTACTGATTTTTTTCTTACAAGATTGTAAGAAGGGATATTAAATGTTAAGTCAGTTTAAAATTTCTGTACTTTAGAAGAGGATTTTTAATTTTTTTTTTCATTTCCTACTGCTAGTTCACTCTTTCCCAATATATATATATATATATATATATATATATATCTTGTTCCCAAATTTTCAATCTTTAATACAATACTTTCTATTCATCCCTTCAAGGTCAAATACATTTTTTTAAACTTGTAGTTGATGACACATGATGTTAATACAGTTTTTTATTTATTAATTCATTCATTAATTTAAAAAGTGAATATATAGTAACAATCAAAAATAATAGTTCAACAGCATATATAGAAAGGAAACACGTTCGTGGTGTCCCTGTAGTGCAATGGATAGCGCGTTGGACTTCTAATTCAAAGGTGGTGGGTTAGAATCCCACCTGGGATGGTCTAATTTCTGAGTGTGAATTATTTTTCCCTATATTATTTTATAAGAGTAATTAAATTTAATTCATGAATAAACAGTAACAAACATGCAAAAATAGTCCAACACCCTACATGGAAAGGAAAATGGAAATTTGCAAGGAAAATCGCTTTTTATTTTGTCACTTAATATTGCGAATCTGTCATATGTATATAGATATTTATATTATATGTAACTATTTAATAAAAAGTAACTAAAATAAATTTTTAATTGTTGACCTAATTAGGAATCGACTTAAAATTCTTTTTGATAGTACTTGTTTAATGCCCATTTAATACACCTTTTTCTCCTTTTATTACTTTCTAAAAATATGAAATTAATGTATACAAGTTACTTATCCACTTATACATAAAGTAATGAAACTAAATACTTAAAAAAACATATTACCTGGTTTTAAAAAATTTTACAGTTGGAAATTGGTAAGTATGCATAAAACATGAAACTTAAATAATTTTAAGGATAAGTGTGTAACGGTTCTATCCGCTATCTATTTATTAACACCTTGTGGATTCTTCTGGGGAAAAATAAATTGATTCAACCAACCTTCGCCGACCAAGAAAGCGTGATTATGTAAATGAAGTATGTTATATAAATTCTGTTTTCGTGAGTTTGTGAGTTGGCAAATAGGAGTTAACATAGAGTCTGCGAGTTAGTTGAAGATTGAAATAAAGTGGAATTAGTAAGAGGTCTTGGAGTTGTCCAGGAAAAAGACTACAGAGTATAGATCCAATGAAGTTGATGAAGCCCGATAAAGATCACCTGAAAATTTTTAGTGTAGGATCCGATGCATAAAAAGTACAGATATGATGAGCTTGATTAATTAGAAGTTACCTTATTAGTGTACGACGAATTTAAATTTGAGCGTATTTAAGCTGTCTTAGATTCAGTTGAGGGTCCGTAGTATTATCTCCGTGTTACAGAATCTCATCTCCGTACTCCACTATTTAATCACCTACTTTTATTAGATTGTTATTGTGTCTTATTGATATTTCGAAAGAATAAATCAATTAGATTGAAATCATGTCTGTGGATCATTCAGTTTCTCCCACACACCCAACCGGATTTACAGGTAGACAAGGGGGTTCAGATGTAAGCAGGAACCGACCGGTATCACGTGTAAACACAGAAATACTCCTTTTCCATGAATGTCTTTTTATGTTCAATCCTATCAAAACTTAATTTATAAACCATTACTTTTCCGGATTCCTTGGTACGCCAAGCTCACAAAAGTCGAATTAAAAAACGAATATATCTAGTTTAATAATGTGCATTATTTCAATATATAGGCTTAAGAAGTGAGATAAATATTCACTGAAATAAACCCACTAATTTAAAAACCTAAACAAAATGAGGATATTTGCAAATTGTTACTAAATAGCTCATAAAACAGGACGTTTATACGAACCATGAAGCAATTATTCCAAATTAGATTCATTTGTTACACTGATATTATTTATTTTAGGAAAATAGTGCAACTTGCAACATCAGTCTATTCTAAATTGCCTCCAAGTATAATAATATGTACTAAACTAAAAATGAGGTTCATTTAAATTTCTAGAATATTTGCCCAAATAAACAACGGGAATTAAATGTGGGTTTTCTGGAGTAAATTGAACCAGTAAAAGAAAGTGTGAACTCTCCTCCTGAACAAGAGTTCTTTCTAGTTTTATTCATTGCAGTGCACACTTTTTCAGAGAAAGTCAGATTACTCAGTGTAAAACCATTTATTGTTGTTTTCCCTATTATTCTTTCCTCAATTCCCTTAACTCCCCCTCGGAAACACCTTTGTATAAATATGAATTAAGTATTTGGATAGATTTCCATTTTAAAGCATGAAGTGTCTGAGGTAACGATGAATTCGTGGGTGGCTTTATCTCTACCCATTTATGGGATGGAATCCTGGTACTATTAATTATATGTAATGCTGATGGTTGGTTCATGTTAGACCTCTTGGATCTTCAAGTCCTCACGTTCATGCGGTGTTGAAGTTTGGAAAGTAGAATGCCAACTTGTGACGGTTCTATCTTCGACTATATTAACAACTTGGGGGGAAATATTAAAAAAAAATTTTTTTTTAACTTTCACCGACCAAGAAAGCGTGATTTTGTAAATGAAGTATATTATATAAATTATGTTTTCGCAAGTTTGTGAGTTGGTACGTTGGAGTTGGCAAGTAGGAGTTAGCATAGAGTTTGTGAATTAGTTTGTTAATTGAAGATTGAAAGATAGTGGAATTATTAAGAGAATTTTGAGTTGTCCAGGAAAACGGATTACACCAGTGGATCCAACGGCATTGATCAATCCCGCTTAGAATCACCTGCAAGATTCAAGTGTAGGATCCGATGCATAAAAAGTACAGGTATCGTGAACTTGATTAATTAGAAGTTAGCTTATTAGTGAGCGACGTAGTTATATTTGAGCGTATTTAATCTTAGATTCACTTGAAGGTCCTTAGTACTATCCCCGTGTTATAGAATCTCACCTCCGCGCTCTACTATTTAATTACTTACCTTAATTAGATTGCTATTGTGTCTGATTCATATTTTGGTAACAATAAATTAGATTGAAATCATGTCTGATGGATCATTCAGTTTCTCCCACACACCTATCCGGGTTTACAGGTAGACAAGGGGTTTCAGAGTCAAGCAGGAACTGACAGGTATTGCAAACTCAGGTTTTGTTTCGTCACTTGGCCGGGTTTCAAAATGAAAATATGCGGTATCAATAGCTCCCCTGCAATTTAAAAGGCGAGGCTACACTAATAAAAACATTGTATAACTTGAACTATGAAATCAAATTGTTCCAATCTGTTCATAGGCTTCGGGAAATAAATGGAGCTCCCTTTTCAATAAGTAAACTAACATTTCTGGTTCCTTGCCTGTAGCTGTCAGTATGGCTTGTTTTATACATTCTACTGGTCATGGTTTGCAGGATTACCTGTATAGAATATGAAGGACAGATTCAGATTGCTGCCCTGTTTGTGACCATGACGCACCCATGAATGAGGATCCCCTTAATACCGTATTTACTCGAATCTAAGCCACCTTGGATTCTAAGCCGCACCTCCAATTCTCTACATGTTTTTGAGAAAAAATAAGAATTTCTGTAAAAGAATCATCGATATCCCAATACTTCAAAAAAAGTTAATAATTTATTTTACCAGTCTTAAAAAGTTTCCAATACATACATGAACCTACAGTTACTCTAGCCACAGGTATCATGTTTCGAAAATGATTCATCACTCCCATTCTCACGGTCGATTACTATATTGATGCCAGTGTAGCGATATATTCTATATAAGCCAGTAACAGCCTCCGTACCATGGCGTAACCACCTCCATTTTGGCGTAGTGGTTAAGTTACTCGGCTTCGGACCCAAAGGCCCCAGGCTCTGTCATATAGGATAAAAACGCGCTATTTCATTTGGTGACCCTAGCTTAACTAAGAAGAGTGAAACCTATACTGATCTGTCGTGGCGCCATCTACCCGCAAAAAAAGAGAGCAAGCTTGGGAAAAAATTCGTCGAATAAACTTGACGCAAGAGAGCAACCAAGGAAAAAAAATTCGACAGATAAACATGACGCAAGAGAGCAACCAAAAATAATCGTCAGATAAACATGACGCAACTCATCCAACACACACAAAACTGCACGCTCCCACTAACAACTCTATCGTTCGTTCGCCTAACCAACTCACTGGTAGGTGAGTGTGTAGCGATATAATCTATATAAGCCAGTAACAGCTTCCTCACCATGGTGATCATTTTGGTGTAGTGGTTAAGTTACTCTGCTTCGGACCCAAAGGTCCCGGGTTCTGTCTTATAGGATAAAAACGCGCCACTTCACCAGCGTCATCATTTTCCTATACAGTGTCATCTTCCTTAGCATCCAATGCATTTGCTTTAGAACATTTTTTTCAAAAGAATGTATTATAGAAGAATGCTAAAGAAATATATTAAGGTAACAGAACACCATCGAAGAAAATTTTTTGAATTAACCTGAATTTTGCCTGTTAATGCATATTTTATGACCTTATGGGTCTTTAAAATCAGAAAAACACCCAAGTAAAGTCTTATTAGTGCACATTTTTTCTGTGAAAGGGGTATTTTATGAAAAAATAAGCAAAAATAAGACTTTACGCAAAACATAATAACTGAAAATAAAATAAATATATTGACATTTCGTAAATTGAATAATATAGCATACAACCTTATCTAGGGAATATACACTTATTTTGGTAATATAACAGTTACGTGAGAAGCTATTGTGTTTCGAGCTTCTTAACGTTGAAATTTTCTTTAAAAGCTATTGTAATTTTCACTTTATTGCTGTATAAAAAAATGTCTACTCAACATAAAATCTTAAGAGAGGTCTATTCCCTGTATTAGTATTTAAAAAACATATATATAAAATTTTTATTTCATACAAGCATAACTTTTTGAGATATTGTGTTTTGCGGTAAGAAAAAATGTAAAAAAACTCATTTTGAGAAAACGACAAAAATAACATTAAACTAATCTGATTACAAGAAAAACACTTACTTTCTTATTAAAATGCACCAGATTTATAATTCTCTCCATCTTTAACTTCTAAAACAATATTTTTTTTCTTTTTAAGGGCTCTTAAAATTTTCCTATGTTTCTTTGTTTTGAGGTCTGCGTTATGAATCGATTCACGGATTCTGCATTTATCTAAATGTTTATATCCCCGTAAGGTAAACACCCCAGGATTTTCAATATTCATCTTATTAAAAACTTTGAGGCACCCATTTAATCCCTCATTGAAATGTATAACAGCATCATACGACCCAAATTTAATTGTTTTGAGCGAAACAAATACTTCTTTCGGAACTTTTTGCCAGAATATTCCGTTAAAACACTCATTTGCATTTTGCGTGCGTCCATGTAAGCACTTACTTAATATCTGTTTGTCGCATAGTTCTAAATAAGCTGGTTTAATTTTATTT